TAGTTCTGACTGAATGCTGGTTTTCTCTCTCTCTCTCTCTCTCTCTCTCTCTCTCTCTCTCTCTCTCTTATTTTCACCGGAACGAGTTATTACAACTAAGATTGTTAAGGGTCATGTTACATAAACGCGCCCCTTAATATATATGAAGGGGAGGGACAACATGAGCGGTGAGGCACGAACAAAGTCCTTCAATAAATTTTTTTTAATTGGGACAAAGGGACTTCTTTCTTTCTCTCGTAAACCTATACTATCCAGACTTTTATAAATCCATCAGGAATGCTAAATACATATTTAACGTAACAAGTATATGCAGGTAAAATTATTTAATTACTTTAACCTCGTTGTGCATTCCTATGTGTGTAACGGTTAAATAGGCAAATCAAGTTTGTCCGATCACTGGCGTTCAAATAAAACTCATATCGCACTAATCCCTGTGTGTATCTTTGGCGTAGATTTAAATTCATTTGTTCTATATAAGCATAATGATTAACCAGAAAGGTTGGGTCTCAACTGATATATAATCTGTCCGTTACAAGGATAAGAGTTGCTCCATTTATTAAAATGATGATGACTGGATTTTCGATGTCAGAGGAATTAAAGATGCATACAAAGTCAATTTTTTTTTGCCACAAAAACCAACCAAATACCAGCATATAGGTTAAAGTAGTATAACTAAGGGAATTACCAAAAGGCATTGTTTAATTTTACCCGAAAACGATGTTTGAACAGATTTTTCTGCTAGCATTTTATGCTGTATGTCAATGGGGCAGAAAAGTAGGTTAAATTTCCGACCAAAAATTTAAAGTCATAATAACTCTTCGTTTTGGCCAAAAATTGGATTTTCCTGGAAAAAACGGCAATTTTTCCGTACTTACCAATGGTCAACGACCCCATTCCTGCATTCATAGTTAATCCAGGGTTTTTTTCCTAAACTGACGGAGCTCTCTCTGACATTGCAAAGTCACTGGTGACCTACTTAAAACCGCGGGAAAAGCAGACAACAACAACACTATATAAGATTCATGAGATATATTCGTCTTTTTGTTAAAAATGCATTTATATCCACAATGTGTGCCATTCTGGGCTTTTCGTATATCGGACGCACTGTACAAAAACTCGCAACTTACGTCTGCGTTTGGCGCCATGTTAATTTGGTCTCGAATGAACGCGAGAATCGGCGTGACACCATTACGTCATTAGCAACGAATGCCTTGATGACTGGGAAGAAAAGCATCGAAAGCCCCATTGACAAGCACAGATTTTAGTTTTACTACAATAACGGCTGTTTTAGTGGTAAAATACAATAGAATATATTTCCATGCGTTGTTTACAATGTATTTCATGCGGAATTTTGAATCTCAAAGGAAGAGTTATTATTCCTTTAAAGAAAGGAGCAGTCTAAAGCTCTTTTATGGCTGATAGAGTGATATATTCAGTTTATCCCTTGGCATGTCAAATTTATTTGAGTCGTATAAGAAACTAGTAGAAGTGGTTTCCATGTGATACTGGGAATCTACACTCCACCGATGCTCGGTTCGTATGTATACCTTTAAGGTATACATGTAGGCCTATATAGATTTCTTATCCCTCCTCATATCTAAAATTTAATCAATGCAGTCTTGAGAAGGGCAACTCATTCGCTCATACGGCTGCAGATCAACCGGAAATTCTTCCGCTCACAAATTTAAGCAGCAGTTAAAATGACTAGATGGTCCACATTGTTTCCGACGAATGAACAACCACACATAAAATTTAATTGAAGTACTAGTAGACAATAAGTGATTTCCCTGGCCCATACTCTCTCTTTTATTTTAGTCGGAAGACTGTCTGACCCTTAACGTGCTCGTACCTGGAGTTTTCAATGCCAGCCTAAGTAAGGCGGTAATGGTCTGGATATACGGAGGGGGGTACAATATGGGCGGGTCGGTATACTACATATTTGATGACTTGGGTGAGTATTTACTGATTGATTTTCTGTCTTATATAAAATATATTTTAGAAGGACGCTGTCATTTTATTTGCATGCATTTTCAAAGAATTTTTGCACTCCGCATTTCCATGTAAAGTATATTCCAACCCGTGTATCTCAAATTGGACAGTATTGATATACAATTAAAGGTGTACTGCATACGGAATTTGTGTGTCAGTTTTCATTCCCCTTGGGAAAAATGCTACTTCCTCCTACCAGCGAATAATTGTACGGCCCATTCTAGCGTTGGGATTCAATGTTTTGTATATTTCTAAATAACTTACTCCAAAACAAACCGTGATTCGTTTGGATCTCCGTTGTCTTCTTGACTTTATTTGAAGATATTAATCGTCGTTTAAGATGTCTAAATTCAGTAGAAAGATGAAAAGTTTTGCAGAATATAGACATTAAAAATTCAAACGCTAAAAGTACGTGCATACCTTTAAGTAGCGTAACTGGTATTTTTGTAAACCAACGTCACGATCACTTTATCTAACCGAAATGTAAAACTTTGACACCCCAGCTGTGGAAGATGACGTCATAGTGGTGACAGTCAACTACCGCGTGGGTCCATTCGGATTCCTGAGCACTGGTGACGTCAACGCTCCTGGTAACGCAGGACTCTGGGATCAAATAGAGGGACTCAAATGGGTGCGAGACAACATAGCCAGCTTCGGAGGAGATCCTAATAGGTGGGTTATTGCTACGTCCAAATATATCATGTAGATATACTGCAATAAAAGCAACACCAACAGCAACAACAACAACAACGATGATGATGATGATGATGATATGCAGTAGATCCAACCAAAAACAATTGAATTACACAACTTATTATTAAATACCGTCAAAACAATTGAAATGATAAGCCAGATGTAACATTTACACGTGAAATTATACTGGTTTAATGTATGTAAACTTAAGACAGTTATATAGCAAAGCCATTATTATTTAATATATTGCAGAACAAAAATGATCTAAAAAAACACTTGCATCAATATTGTTCCCTATAAGTACATGTATATTTACAACTATTTGTGCATGTAGCATTCATTCATTCACCGTCAAAGAGGTTGAGCTTCACATAAGAAACAGTATCTACGTGTATCGACATGAATAGATCTTTATACCCGCCTTTTGCGCAGATACGAGCACAATAAAGGTGTTTTTATATCTACATGTGCTTCTTTAAATTTAGGATTACTATATTTGGCGAATCAGCTGGTGCAAGCAGCGTTTCCCAACTTGCCATGACAACAGCCACAAAAGGTCTCTTCCATCGAGTCATCAGCCAAAGCGGAGCAGCACTGAGCCCATGGGCCTGGGTACACGATGCCATCGACGTTGCTATGACAATCGGTAATCTTCTCGGCTGTAACGCAACAACCACAGACACAGCAAAACTTGTTCGATGCTTACAAAACCAAGACTCTGTAGTACTAATAAACGCCAGCAGCCAAATCACTGCTGGGAGGACTTACTTCGGGTTTAGCCCTGTTGTGGATGGAGACTTGTTTCCTCGGTCTGTCACGGAACTGCTGAAAGATACTGATTCGGATGTGTTACGTCACTTCCGGTCTGTGGACTACTTAATTGGTTTCACTGATTCTGATGGTGGAGTCTTTCTCTTCAAGTTACCATTCAACTACACCTCAGGTATACCTGGAGACAAATTACGTGACACGCTCATTCCACAACTTGCTCTTCAAGTTTCAGCGCTGCATAAGGATGAAATCGAGGCTAAGATGAAAGACATTTACTATGATCCCTCGGCCGATAAGGAGGCCACTGCCCGCCATTATGTGGATTTGTTAACGGATTTAGAGTTTGCAGGGCCGACGTTGACTCTTCTCACAAGCCACTTGACTTCAACCAACAAGTCGTCTTATCTGTATTTGTTCACGAAAATCCCGTCTTGGCAAAGTGCGCTATCATGGTTCAGAGGATCTAACCATGCCGCAGACATAGGCTTCATCATAGGTCCAAATGTTAGTCAAACTACATGGAATGTGACCTTCAACGAAGGAGAGCGGAGGTTTTCAAGATCGATGCAGACATATTGGTCAAACTTCGCCAAAACTGGGTAAGAATTTAAAATGAATGTCTTTTCTTTCGTTAATTCGTTTATTTGTTGTTGATGCGCATGTTTTCTTTACTCTTCTGGCAGTTTCCCACCTTAAAAACTGAACAACGGTGATTTATACGAGATGGCTGTTCCACAACAATTTTTTTCTAGAACAAAGCTATTTTTCCTACTAATAAATCATTGGTTGACCCAAGCCTGCAGTAGGAGTCGATGCTATGATGTCCGGTCGACCTTATTCCGCACGTGTACTCGTAAACTACGCGATTTTGAAATACTGGCAAAATTACTGTAGTAGCAATAATACATGGGAACAACGGAAGCATGAAATTCACATACCTTGCATTAATACACAACAAAAGTGTCATTATTGCGCACATGTTACAGACAATACAGCCCTGACTGGCTATTTTGTCGACGAAAACACGGCAAAAACGAATATCTCTAAAAATGCCTATGCCATCTTTTTTTGACAAGGAAGAATTACCGACCAGCCAAATTCATTTTTTAAAGTATTGATGCGAAACATGTTTTAATTGTTACAGGGGTACATGCTTGTATCTTTCCTTTTTTATCGTGTGTTTTAAGGTTCAAATTGCATACATAATACAGCTTGTTACTTATACCAGTAGCTTATTATAACATTTTCATTTTTTCTAGCAATCCAAATTTACCAAAAGCAGTTCCCACTGAATGGAAACAATACACAGATTCTCAGAAGCATTATCTAGAGCTCGGAGATGACATCACCAGTAAAATGGACGTGATTCCAAAGCGTATGAAATTGTGGCTTGAGACTATTCCACAGATATTGTCACGTGATAAAAACGTCATACCGTCGCCAACCAACATCAGTAAAGGCAATAACTGCTGGATGAGTTCGCTCGTTCTCTTCCTAGCTGGGTGTTTTTATTTTAGCATTATTTAACATTTAGATACTGATTCATAGAAAAATAACTATAGTTATTCCCCAGGTCACCTTTGATTTTCAGAATTCGTAATATTATACTAGGTTACTGATAGCATTGAGTATAAGTTGTGCAGTGTCGTCATATGAAGGAGCACACAAGGTGTCCAGTGTGTATGACGACATTCTCAATCCCACCCTGGGGGGAGAGGGCGAGAGGGACTAACAAGTCATCAACAAGACTGGGGTAATTACCTGTTCACTTCCACCTGAACAGGTTATTTAGTTGTGACCAAGTCAGAGTCAACAGTCGAAACAGTCAACAGGTAAATCAAATATCTGGATCTATCATAAATGAAAACTTTCTGAGTATTAAAACTATTTTCACATTTAATATTATTATGAATTGCGATAGAGAACCTCTATCACATTTGATCGTACAAATGCTACTGGAAATATTTAAAGCGATACACCTATTACGCAGCTTGCTTAGGGATGAGATGGAGGCTAACATAAGGGTTATTTACTATGATTTCTCGGCTGACAAGTAGCTGAAGGTCACTGCCTGTCATTACATGAATTTGTTTTCCAACTATGAATTAGCAGGGCCATCAGGGCGCACTCATTTTTTGCATAGCAATATGTCAGATTATTTAATCAAAGTATTGCATCATAATATGTCAGATTATTAATCAAAGTATTGCGTTTAACATGACGTTTTGATGCAATACTTTGATCAAATAATCTGACATATCATGCCATCCCTGTGTAACTTGGTTTTTGTCCGCCACTTGAGACCTTATGGTTTTAGGCTTTTGTAATATCCAAGCGTGTCAAATTGATTTTAGGCTTTTATATAGTATTCAGGTGTCACCTAGCGAAGTGATGGTAAATGACTCAGATATATAACACCTTTAAAATAAGTCAGTAAAATATGCAGACGCCATAATAAATACAGTATCTACTTTCTCATTCGGATGCCGTTGCTAACAAGATTGGGGACACAATAATTGCTGTGCCAGAAGTCATAAATTTGCGGTGTGATTATTGCCTTGATAAATGTATCTAGTAGCGAACACAACAGTACGTGGCGTTATCAGACCATGAATGATATAGCATTCTGCGTGTTATCTTATTTGAGGTTATAGGTATAGCGTAATGGTACCGGGGAGCTTGGAGGGTTACGTGTTACGAGCGTTTTGTGTTCTTGTTTATATCATTTAAATTCTAGATATAAAGCAACCACAGCATTACTTCTAAGGGACGCAAAAGGCGCATCTTTCATAACAAAGGAAAGTCACATAAGTTGCGCACGAAAAAAGCGAGGATGGAGTAAATACATGTGCTTTACTTTTAAGGGTTGTTACCTAAAATGTATACATGTATGCGCAACTGTTACTAATAAACTAGTTTTCTGAACCACAGAACATATCGGGCTGTACTAGTATATGTAAAATATATCCATTAAAGGTTGGAGCAGGATATTGCTTGCCACAAGGATAAATTATTCGGGCTTCGTGCCCGTAGCCAGTTTTTTTTTTTTTTTTTTTTTTTTTGGGGGGGGGGTCGAAAGAGTCCCCTTTTTGTCGGGAAAAGGTCCCCTCTGGCTAAAATTTTATCTAGGTGCACGAAAGAATTCATGGTAAAAGGCCCACTTTTTCTGAACTAAAAAAAACTTGTTGCTGGCTACGGGTCTGCAAGGACATGCTAACTGAACCCTTCTCAATTCATTGGAAAGATGTGAAATTGTGTGGTAGGAAGGTCTGTGCTCGTTTCATATCAATTCTGTTAATAAAATCGCTGCGCTCTGAAATATACGGACCTAGTATAAGCAAAAGTATAAATTAATAAATGCCTGCACGAGTTAGGATGTATTCATATGAAAATTACGGCGTTGCTAAATTGCTATGCCGACAAGATCAGACAATGATGACCGTTCTAAGTTCATTTGAAGTCATTCGCTGCAAGACTGCTTTATCAGGGCGTCGATCTTACAGTTGTAAGTCAAACTGAAAAAGTACTGCATTTAAAAAAAACATCTTGAACAGTCTGTCCAAACAACTTCTACAGGTGGATTTATTCAAGTTCATCCGTGTTCAACAGCTTCAACGACTGTTCTATACTAGTGCGTGGACTGCTTTGTATACGAGGATGGTATAAGTCAAACTGTTGTACTAATTATAGTAAGTTCTGCTCAACATGGGGATTCAGAGTCGTCTTCCTGATGTTCGTATACCGTGGGTCTCCATAACGGACTTTCTGCTGGCTGACGTAGACAAATATGCAGACTTTATAGCAGTGGTAAGTGTTGCTGTCTCTCTCGCTCGTTCTCTCTCTCTCTCTCGGGCGCGCGCGCGAGCACACACACGCACACACACATTCTTAGAGAGAGAGAGAAGGGGAGGAAGAGAGAGAAAGAGAGCGCAGTTTTTCGAATATTAGTAGTTAAGCAGTCACCGTTTTGTTACTACATCATGTCGTACCTAGGATATTTTCGTGAGATGGCGTACACGAACGTACCCCTGTAACCCGTACGGTAGTGATTTTATATATTTACTTTATAAATGCGTTGCAGATTTTTAAAGTCAGTAGTATTTAGCCTACATAAGATTTTCTTGATTGACCCGGTGTGGCAGAAAACCATCTTGTGTTCAGACCGTTGTACTCCTTTGATCGAAACTTTTTTAAAAATGTATTAAAAGAGCACAAAGGGCCATATCAAAATCAGGAAATGTGCTCATTTATTTATTTGTTAATTTATCTATTTTTTCACTTATTGAAAGAGATGTACAGAATTATAGTTTCAGTGAAAGAAAGGGAAAGTAATCAAACCCGTATCGACTTTAAATGAACCCTAATCTGATGTTACATGTATATCCTTCAGTTTAACTTTTCATTTGAATTTGAACACGAGCTTCTTTTATCAGGTCGACACCCAAAGTGACATCAAATATACGTACGGTGACGTCAGAAACCACGTGAGATCCATCGGCAGCGCGCTCACCCGTAAGGGTTTTCGAAAGGGAGACGTGCTGTGTATATATTGCCCGAACGTTCCGGAGTTTCCCTTAGTATTACTGGGAACTCTTGCTGTGGGTGGGATCGTTACCACTTGTAACCCACATTACACAGCAGGTAAGACTCAGTGCGCACGGTTGACACTTGCTTAAATTTTTTTGTCTTAGATCTTTTCTGCTGTTATAGAGATAACGTGCTTAATATGCATCTGGTTACAAAATAGCTGTTCTTTATTCATGGTTGTATGCATGTTGAATAAATAATGCAGCGAAAGGCAGTTTGTCATCATGGTTCTTACTTATTCTATTCATGTATTGTCGTTAGGTACAACGTAGGCCTACAAGAGTTTTAATGCAACTTTGCCCATTTTTTCTATGAATAGAGGAACTGGAAAAGCAAATGAAACTTGCGCATGTGCAGTATATAATCACAGTGCCTGAGTGTGCAGAGAAGGCCGTCAGAGTTGCTGCTACAACTGAAATAAAGGTTTCTCATTCTCTCTCTCTCTCTCTTGGAGTCTCCCTCTCTCTCCCTCTCACACTCATTCCCGATTTCTCATCACTTTTACTTAGTGCGCGTAAGTTCACAAATCAGGGCCCCGTAACTCGAAAGCACCGCGCATTGCGACCGCCCATACTCGCCCCATATAATACATTGTAGCCTCTATGTGATATCGCTATTCGCAATACGCGATGCTTTCCAGTTACGAGGCTACATGCAGTTCATTTATCCACCTTTTCTGTAATTAGGCTGTGTACGTATTAGGCAGCGCCCAGGGATGCACCCCATTCACCGAACTTCTAAATGACAGCGGTTTTGCCTTCCCTGATGACGTCAACATCTCGCCGCAAGATGTCGCACTCCTCCCGTTTTCCAGTGGCACGACAGGCCTGCCCAAGGGTGTGATGCTCACGCACTACAATATTGTCGCCAATCTCTTGCAGTCGAGGTAGACCTTTAAAATAACACTGATTGTATCGTTGACTACGTTTTTTATTGTTAAGAGGGAATTATCATTGATAAAAACTACATATGAATATATGACATAACGAGCATACAAACTTACACGTAGCCTAGTAGGCCTACAAGCATTAGATCATTGGCAATTTTCATCATCCTTGTATTTTTGATTATTCCTGTCAGATTGCATCTATCAGCATTAAAAATGTGCTCCTTAATTCTCCCATAACTGATTATCACGTAACACTTCGAAACAGTAAAAAAAAACTAATATGAAATTTCATTTCTGAGATTGAAAAGAATTGAAAATATCTTTTCAGAGATTTTATATACACCGGACGCCCTAGTGTAGATTTTGTCATGGGGTATCTTCCTTTCTTCCATGGCTTTGGTTTACTTGTCATCAATATCGGATCGATCAAATTCAAACAGACAATTGTATGCATGAGAAAATTCGACTTTGAAGATTTCCTGGCCGCCATTGAAAAGTACAAAGTAAGCGCACATAATAATTATCCTAATGTGGAAAAAATTATTGCAGAATTACTAATTGTTTTATTTTATCATAAAACGGGTTAAGTTGTCGCTGATAATGATTGCTCACAACCATGGTGGTTAATGACGTTATTATCTTGTCACAAACAAATGACAAAAATGACAAAAAAGATGAAGCTCACGTTTCACACGAGAAAATCCGATAATTTGATTGGTTATATGCGATTACATGAGAACATCAACGAAGATACCATCGGGCTAATCTGTGGACGAACACCAAATGGGAGGGAAGATGGTCACCTTAGGAATTGCATTTGACATTAAGATAATTCTGTATTCTAAAAAAGACATAAATGAAGAAGTTTGACAACATACAACAGAAATGATCAATGATATCAAAATGCTACTACAGTGTAAATTTGCAGTACACGCTCAGTGATTGTCATACCAAAGTAATAGTGAAAACATACATGCACTAGTACATAACCACGCACAAGAACTAACATTAACAGCTGGAAAATACAGTATTTACCTGTAACATGGATTGACCACCCGCTTTAAAATTATTCCCAGATCCGGTATCTGTTTGCGGCGCCTCCAATTGTCATTAGGATGGCCAAGCACCCCAGTGTGGCAAAATACGACCTATCTTGTGTGGAAACCATCATGTCAGCATCAGCCCCACTGGGGAGTGATTCAGAAGAGGAACTGGAGGCGCGTCTTGGGACGTGTAGTCTGACACAAGGTGGCGACACTTTAGCCTTCAGGCTTTTGGGGAATGTACCAGTTTCGAATATTTCTCTGTCAGATGAATTTTTATTTTAAATTTTGTTCCTTATTATTCGTGATGTTAATTTATGGATGAATAAGAGACCCAATATTTGTGGTAATTATTTTGATAGAATTTAATTGTTATCTGAAAAAGATGGTCCTATTTGTTCAAAGTTTGATACAGTTCTCGAATTCTAACTTTAACTGAAGTAAAACAATTGGATCGCAGGTGATAATTACTCCATAACATATACCGTTATGACGTATTGTATTTTAAGGTTATGGATTAACAGAAACTGGTCCTTTCTGCTCCTTGCCACCACTTTCAAGACACTTAAGGCGACCAGGAGCGTCTGGAGTTTTAGTCCCAAATACAGAGTGCAAGGTAAATGAGAACATACTAGTACTATTACCGTGTGTATACGTACGTGAAGTAGGATTGTAAGAGAGTTAGGCTGCGTTCACATGAAAAATCTATTTTCTAAAAATCTAAAAATCTATTTGTGGTATCTTGTGATCACGGTCTGTGCTCTGTCTTCAAACAATGTTATAGTATGACAACATATCTCTTTCTTTGGACGCGCCCTTGACATATAATCATATTCTACACAGGTGGTGGACCCAAGCACGAAGAAGGAACTTGGTCCGAACCAAGATGGTGAACTATGGTTCCGAGGCCCTCAAGTTTTCAAAGGCTACTTGGATAATCCTGTCGCCACCGCGGCCACCTTGGACAAGGACGGCTGGATACACACCGGTCAGCCTTCCCTGCTAATTTGAAATATTTAGTGCTGCTTGAGTCCATTGCAGTCAGTAATTACAAAATTAACAGTTCTTAATGTATGTAGAATAGAAAAAAATAATTACGCTTAAGCTAGCCTATTTCTGACCCAGGGGTGGATGCAGGATTATTTGATTGGGTGATCCGTGGATGCAAAGGCGACATCCCCCCCCCCCCCCCAATGCGTGGCGTTTGGTATTTTATAGAGGGTGAACGGTGGCATTTGGTACGGTTTAGAACTATGATTCAAAAGGGGACCACTGTGAACTGGCTACTGTATTTGTTTTTATATTAATCTATTTTTGTCAGCTCAAGTATTCCTTTTTCTGTTAAATTTAGGTGACATTGGACACTACGACGAGGATCAGTACTTATATATCAAGGACCGTATTAAGGAGATGATCAAGTTCAAAGGGTTCCAGGTAAAAGACTAGAGCCGTGACCAAAACTAGCGAAAAGGACGTAGATTTTAAATCTCAACATTTACATGTACATAACGAACTACCAATTTGTGTGCTGTGATGTGTAGTTCATTATCCGGCATTCTGTTTATGTGTCACATGCCCTCTTAAATTTTAAAACGTCGGAATATATATAATTTTTTGCCGACTAGGTGGCGCCAGCAGAGCTAGAGAGTGTCTTGGTAACCCACCCAGCGGTGGAAGACGCGGCGGTAGTGGGTCGACCTGACCAAGAGGCTGGAGAATTGCCCATGGCGTTTGTGGTTCTTAAGTCTGGTAGAATGACCACTGAGAGGGACATCATGGACTTCTTGGCAGGTACAATAGCACTGACCTCGGATGGTTATAATCGTGCCGACTCAGTCAATACTATATTGTTAATGTTTCAATATAGTGTTTTGTTTTCTTTTTTCTTTCTTTTTTTTTCTTTTTTTTTCTTTTTTTTTCTTTTTTTTTGTTATCATTTTTGTCAATACTTTTAATAGATAACAAAAAGCTACATAAAATTTGATGTTAAGTCACAGTGCAATATTTTTTAAATTAACAGTATATACGAGTATATTGCATGCATGGACATTGGGCACCGATATAAAATATTAAACAAAAATTCCCACTGCACTCAACTTTTACCACATTTTCAGAAAAGGTGTCTCCTTACAAGCGTTTGCGGGGTGGAGTGGTAATTGTGAAGTCGATCCCTAAGACTGAGAGCGGGAAAATTCTGCGGCGTTTTCTTCGAGCCGGATTAAGGGAGAGAGTTGAGAAAATGAAAGCGAAACTGTGAGGAATTCGTCGTTGCACTTCCAAGAGATAATTTAAGATAATTTAAGATGATTAACAGAGCCACAGATATCAAGGACACATATCATTGCGTATTAGTCATATCATAGAAAACATAGTCTGCTGAGATATTATTTCCTAAATATTTGAAGTTAATCAGTAATGGTCCTGTGGTTGGGGAATATGTTTATTGACTTGTCATTTGCTTGCTCGAAGTAAGCTGTCTCTTACGGGCTACATAATGACACACACCAAACTTTCTGCAAAGAAATCTGTCATACCAATTTAATCAAAGTATCGCATCATTGTGCTACACATCCGTGCGTGGTAATTGCCAGCTACTTGGTACCTTACTGACAGTCGTTGGAGACACGCAATGTTTTTTTTTTTTCGCTTTTTTTTTTGTAGTAGTAGTAGTAGTACTCAAGTGCCAACTAGCGATGATTAATAACCCTGATATACAGCACCCCTCCCCCCCCCAAAAAAAAAAAAAAAAAAAAAATTATGCAGACGCCCTAGCACATATATACTTCCTTACTCCGATGTCCTTGCTGTCAAGGTTGGGGACACAATACTGCCGGTAGTCTCACATTTGAGTTGTGATTATTGCCCTGATAAATGTAACTAGTAGCGAACACAGCAGTACATGGCGTTATCAGACCATTAATGAAAAACATTATAATCTCTCGGTTAATTATAGCTTAATGGTACCGGGGAGCTTGGAGAATTACGAGCAAATTCTTGTTTATATAACATATAAATAAAGCATATAAGAATACAGCATATAAATGTTGATATAAAATACTACCTTATTAGTTCTTAGAGACACAGAACGCACATCTTTCATACCAAAGGAAAGACAAGTCACACACACACACTCACACACACACACACACACACATATGGTTAAACAGGATATTGCTTGACAATAGGTACATTCCAGCCGGCAGTAAAGTCAGTAAACCCAGACCAGAGTCGAATCAGTGGAAACTTGTGGGATCATGTGAAGGACTGTGCAGTCTAAATTACTTAATACCTGCACGTGTTTAGATAATAATATATAAATAACGGCGTTGTAAATTTTTATGCAGTCATGATCAGACAATGATGCTCTTTGTCCGTGCATTTGAAACGATTCACTGCATGACTGCTTTACTAGAGCGTCGAAAAAGTAAAGTTCTATTTTAAAAATATTTCTCAACCAATCTGTTCAAGCGACTTGTACTGTACAGGCGGAGTTATTCAAGGCCATCCGTGTTCAACAGCTTCGACAACTGTTCCGTACTTGTATTTGGACAGTACGCACAACCAGCGTTGTGTAAGGGGATGATATAATTCACAAAGTTGTAGTAGTAAGTGTGAGTTCGGCTTAACATGGGGATTCGGAGTCGTCTTCCCGATGTTCGTATACCGTGGGTCTCCATAACGGACTTACTGCTGGCTGATGTTGACAAGTACGAAGAATTTATAGCAGTGGTAAGTCTCTCTCTTTCTCTCTGGGTTGCAGATTTTGAAAGCCAGTTTTTAAATCAGATTTTCATGATTGACCCAGTGTGGTGTGGCGAATCTCTTGCTTCGACTTCGACTCGTGCTTCGACTGGTCTGTGCTCCTTGCAGGTTTTTGCTGATTGAAAAAGGAAGTTCAGAATCATAGTTCCATTAAAAGAAAAGGAAAGTATTTAAACATGCTGCTGTTTGCAAAATAATCTGTTGAGGCCTACCGGTATCATTTAGTACTGTACCCTGTAATATTATACATATGAAAATTAAGGATCAGCATATTTTAAGATTTACATTCACATTGCTTTACTACATGGTGTTACATGTGTAATCCAATTTTCTACTGCTCAGCGATTCACACACGTTCACACACACACACACACACACACACACACACACATTTACACCTTTTCCTCCCTACGGGTTATATATCCACTATCCCCTTATCTCCTTGAACGAGTTCTTCTTTTGACAGCTCGACTCCGAAAGTGACATTAAATATACGTACGGTGAAGTCAGAAACCACACGAGATCCATCGGCAGCGCGCTAACCCGAAATGGCTTTCAAAAAGGAGACGTATTGTGTATATGTTGTCCGAACCTTCCCGAGTTTCCCTTAGTATTACTGGGAACCCTTGCTGTGGGAGGGATCATTACAACCGCTAACCCGCAATTCACAGCAGGTAAGAGCCTGAGATCTTTTTACTTGTTATAGAGGTTCCGTTACCATGCCTTTTATATCTGGTGACAAAATGGATGTCATTTATTGATAATTGTACATAGTTAAAGCAAGGAGTTAACTCCTTTGTTTAAGTAACACTGCAAAGACAGAGAGGTTACCATAATGTTTCTTATTTTGTTTATATTCAGTTACAAGAGTCTGAGAATATTAATACAATATTTCCCTTTTTCCGTAAAAAAGAGGAAATCGAAAAGCAGATAAAACTTGCGCAGGTGCAGTACATGGTCACAGTTCCAGAGTGTGCGGAGAAGACTGTCAGAGTTGCAGCTGCAACTGGAATAAAGGTTGGTAACTCTCCCTATCTCGTTACCTCTTACTGAAATGAGGCTTAATGAGCCCATAGCCCACAATGTGTCTACGCGGTTCATTTATCCACTTCTTATTTATTAGGCTGTGTACGTATTGGGCAGCGCCCAGGGATGCAGCCCATTCACCGAACTTCTAAATGACGACGGTTCTGCCTTCCCTGATGACGTCAACATCTCGCCGCAAGATGTCGCATTCCTCCCATTTTCCAGTGGCACGACTGGCCCTCCCAAGTGCGTGATGCTCACGCACTACAACATTGTAGCCAATCTCTTGCAGATGAGGTAGAACTTTTAAACAACAAAGTTTGTATAGTAGGCAACGGTTTATTGTTACTTGGTGGACATTTTCATTGACCACACATAGTATATACCCTCATACCATTATTTGTATTTTCCATAATGTTTTTGATTATTCTGTACGTCAGTTTGCACCCATCAGCATACAACGCATTACTTATTATTCTTATTATTGGTGATCATATTTCATGCCACATCCACAGACTTTTGAACAGGTATTCAGCCTTATATGTAATTTTATTTTAGAGATTAAAAATGTAAAACAAACATTTCAGAGATTTTATATACACCGGACGCCCTGGGGTAGATTTTGTCTTGGGGTATCTTCCTTTCTTCCATGGCTTTGGTTTACTTACCATCAATCTCAGAACGATCAAATTCAAACAGACAATTGTATGCATGAGAAAATTCGATTTTGAAGACTTCCTGGCCGCTATTGAAAAGTACAAAGTAAGTTCATTTATAATAACATGCTGATGTGAAAAAAAATATAACAACATTACTAAATATATATTAGTTATAAAAGTAGTAGCGCACTATATTAGTTATAAAAGTAGTAGCGCACACACATGGGGAAATTACGGCGCACAAGTAACTAACATTAACAGCTGGTAAATACAGTATTTACCTGTAACATGGATTGACCACCTGCTTTAAAATTATTCCCAGATCCGGTATCTGTTTGCGGCGCCCCCTATTGTCATTAGGATGGCCAAGCACCCCAGTGTGGCAAAATACGACCTATCTTGTGTAGAAACCATCATGTCAGCAGCAGCCCCACTGAGAAGGGATTCAGAAGAGGAACTAGAGGCGCGTCTTGGGACGTGTAGTGTGACACAAGGTGGCGACACTTTGTGGCTTTCATGCCTGGAAGGAACGCATCAGATGCGAACGTTTCTTGATTTGAAACATGCGTTTTTCTTTCCTTTTTAATCTCGTTCCTTTAAAGGATATATTAGTGGTGTTAATTTATGAATATGAGTGACCCAACATTTGTGATGTTCATTTTGATTGAATGTAATTGTTATATGACGATGGAATTATTCACTCAAACATACAGGTCTCAAATTATTTCAACATAACTGAGTTAAAAAAGAGTAGGATTTCACCAGATGCATGCATTTACTCCTTAAAACGTGCCATTATAACCTATTGTATATTTAGCTTATGGGTTAACAGAGGCAGGTGGTTTCTGCTCTTTGCCCCCACTGTCAAGACACTTAAGGCGACCAGGAGCGTCTGGAGTTTTAGTCCCAAATACAGAGTGTAAGGTAACTGAGAACTTACTAGTACCGTTCATGTAGCAATTTAGTGAGACTCCCCAGGGAGTTAGACCGATCCAGATGGATCGATCTAGGCATGGGAACCCAGTCCTAGATAACAAAACCCATTGAATCATATATATAACACTATAAACAATAAAGAATTACATTCAAAGTGTATCATTGACAAAATTTAATGCATGTAAACTGCCCGCGATATATTTTTATGAGAACAACATCAATTTCTGCCTGTTAAGATTATGATGTATACACGGTATGCTAATATGATTTTTTGCTGATTATTTGGTTGACTTTTTTTGGATTGTCATTTTTATTATGTTAGAGACATGTGATCTATTTTCAAACTATGTTAGGCTCCTAATATTGCACATGTACAAGACTTCTCTTGTATCTGCTATAGGTGGTGGACCCAAGCACGGGGAAGGAACTCGGTCCAAACCAAGATGGCGAACTATGGTTCCGAGGCCCTCAAATTTCCAAGGGCTACTTGAATAACCCTGCCGACTCTGCGACCACCTTGGACAAGGAAGGCTGGATACACACTGGTAAGTTCAATTAGTCACTCCGGATATTCAGCGAAGTCTGATTGGTCTGTCTGGATATTTTGTGCAGTCTGATTGGTCAATATGGATTTTTAGCGCGGCTATAGTCTAATGTAATCACTTATTAAAAAAATCCAGCCAGTTATTCGAATTTTTTGTCCGAGCAAACAAGGAAAATATGTAATGGTAAATCTATTAATCTTATATTATTGATCCTCCGTATTGGTAATCTGGGGCAACTGCACCACGTTAATTTGTGACAGTTCCGGTATTCATTAATAATTATCTATTCATTTTCATCATTTCATCTTTTTTATATTCTGTAAAATTTAGGTGACATTGGGTACTACGACGAGGACCAATACCTATACATTAAGGATCGCATTAAGGAAATGATCAAGTTCAAAGGATTCCAGGTAAGAGACTTGCCACCTACTTGGCAAGGGGATACAGATTTTTACGTAATTTCTTACTGTACTTGTTATTGATGGTAAATATAAGAAAAATATTTCAGGATGGGCATAAGGAAATTGCGTCTGCGACTCGAACCTACACATATTTGTGCAAAGTAAGGTGTACAATCTGCTTAGCTACTTTAACCAGTGGTCAGTTATAACGTAAACAATAGATACAGCTTTCCCTGCGATGTAAATGGATGTATATACTTATGCAATTGGGAATACATCTGAACAGAAAAAAATGTGATATTGAAAATATGCCCAAGGTGGAAAATTTGTCACAATTGCATTGTAGTACATGGAACTGCAGTAGTTACACGGACACTTATGGTCTGGAAAGTTCGTGCAAGTGTCACGAAGATCTTTCTTTCAAGATCTGTTGTACATAAATAGTAATTAGAGTTATAAAGATATGTACTCTGCAGAGTCTGTTGAGTTTTATGTCTACAGTTGAGATACTTTATAACAGTATATTTGTCCCCGTAGTTACACTTACCGAAGACTCTTGGATGACAACTGATCAACATCTATCAAGTAGTGCCAACATCACTGTGGACAATACTGAAATGCCACCTGAAATTAGTGCCTTTCCAATACACACATAAAAAGAAATTAAATCTAAAAATTAATACATTAGGATTTTTGCCGACTAGGTGGCGCCAGCAGAGCTAGAGGGCGTCTTGGTAACCCACCCAGCGGTAGAAGACGCGGCGGTAGTGGGTCGACCTGACCAAGAGGCTGGAGAATTGCCCATGGCGTTTGTGGTACTTAAGTCTGGTAGAATGGCCACTGAGAGGGACATCATGGACTTCTTGGCAGGTAAAATTACGCTGACCTCCTACACGTGGGTCACTGTTATAATTAGCCCATTCCAATATTAAATTGTTTTTAAGTTTCAATAATGTGTTTCTTTTCCTTTTTATTTTATCCTTTGATTTTTTATGAATATTATTAATACACGGGAAAACGTTACATGAAATAATGTATGTATATTTAATAATTTCAAATTGGATTTCTCATTCAGTATCAGATAAAAAAATTTGAAGAGCCTATTATTTCTTAAAACTTTAAAAAGTACGAATTGCGATTTGTATGTATTTCATGTATGGACTTTAGGCACCGATCTAAACATCTTCAAAAAAGTTCCCACTGCTCTCAACTTTTACCACATTTTCAGAAAAGGTGGCTTCTTACAAGCGTTTGCGGGGTGGAGTGGTAATTGTGAAGTCGATCCCTAAAACTGGGAGCGGGAAAATTCTGCGGCGTTTTCTTCGAGCTGAATTAAAGGAGAGATTACAGAAAATGAAACCAAAACTCTGAGGAATTTTATGGTGTTGTACTTCCGTGGGGATGGATGCTTTGACTTTTTAAATGCCTTTTTATCTAATTAATAGGACCACTTACATTAAGACCAAATATCATTGTATATTGGATATTATTCCCTAATTATTTGAAGTTGATTAGTAATCAGTCTTTGGCACCCTGAGCTTCAGAGCTAACTTGACACTAACCTTTTCACTGTAGCCTATCTCCATCGTGTCAAGTAACCTCTGACGAAAATAGTTTGACCTATTTTATATAAGCCAATCGAATCCATGTTTCAAAATTTTTCACCAAAGTTTGGTGAAAACGCTGATTGGTTGATCGTCAATCGGCAATCCTCGGCTGATTCCGCAAGCTCCATACTAACAACATAGTTATTGTCGAGTGCGGAGACATCCGAGTAGTTCCGAGTGCATAACCGTACACAAAGAAAGCATGGAGTATATCGGAATTGAAACCAGAGCAGTATGATGCCCTGCATCATTATCTACTGAGGGATGATGTATTTTGCGTGCTGCCCACAGGTTACGGCAAGTCCCTGATATTCAGCCTTATCTTTGATTGGTCCGGATTTGAACAAAGCGCGCTTTGACTCGTTCGCGTTCATTGGCTTGAGTGCGGGCTTTAAATTTGATTGGCGGGCGGCGGAGGCACTCGAATCTCGTCAGAGGTTACTTGACACGATGGAGATAGGCTACAGTGAAAAGGTTAGTGTCAAGTTAGCTCTGAAGCTCAGGGTGGTCTTTGGTAATCAACAATAAATTGAAAAGAAATGATATTTATTGATGTATTCTCAACAGACCTATGTTGTGGCAACAAATAAACGGGATACTGTGTAGTGGAAATAAAGCTTAAAAAGAGTTACATGAATAAAATAAGCTATCCACATTAAGCCGGTAGTAATACTGTATGAAAACTGAAATTCTGAATCAGAAAAAATATGGTTGACAGATCTTGAGCTTGAGGAAATTGAAAGACGAATTAAGAACAGAGAGGCTACTGTAGATGCTCAAGGACACTGTGAGGATGATGGCGGTGACCCAACCCCATGTTACATAAGTTGGCAACATCACTGAACACGCGTGGCGGGGGTCAATTAGTGATTTTGAGTGGATCCGTGACTTCAATCGTGGACCATTTGACTATTAGCACCGCATTATTGGACCGCGAACAATTTGTGCTGTTTGGGGTGGCTTCCTACCAGATCTCTTCCTGTTTTTCACATGGGTCCTTTTTTTCGACCACGAACTATTTTCAATATGACTGAAGATACGAAGATCAAGATTAAGGGTTTTTTAGATATGTAACGTGGAAACATTTTGATACATTCTCTCCGTAGAGTGACGGGATTTGAGGTTGGAAGTAAATCACGCAACGCCCGCAGACAGTATTTATGCATGTACATCTGGGTCTTGGTATCGTGGTTCAATCATGGCGCCAAGCCATGAACAGCAATTTCTCTTATAAGCCATGTGCATATTTGCTTTATTTTGAACAATAAAAAAGAAAGCCTTGTTATTTAGTTTATTACCTTCCCTTTATTTAAGCCAGTTTTTAAACCACAGTGACTTTTTTTCATAACTGCACAACAACGAATTCCTCTAACAGCTAAAACAGAATATCTGTCAAAAGCAAACCCATTTTAAAATATGAAGTGAGTAATACACCGGTTCATATCAATATATATTCCCAAGATATCAATTACAACCCCAATGTAAACCTCTTTTGAATCAAACATAATGTCTGTCAAGATATTAATAATTCCTTAAACACCTGAAAAAAACTGAAACCACATCTCATGTCACAGGTCAGATCCCAAACTAGTCCAATTATTAACTGGACTAGGCCACTTCCCAATTGGTATCAGGTCTAGGTCAGATCCTGATTGGGTCTTTGCTTAAAACAGCATAATGCATCTTAACTAACTTACTAAAGAGCAGGTGAAATAATTTTGTCTGGTGTTATTAAGTCATAAACACACCAATGGGCAAGGGCCCTCACACGCATGCGTCATTATCAGGAAGTGCCCTACAGCTAATCCATGACGCAGGGTCCTTATTTTGTCCAAACGCAGGTCAATGACGACTGCGACCAGTGCAATCCCGGCGAGCAGCACTGGTGATACGGTATGTTATTAGAACAATGGTAGTAGCATTTTTCATCGTTAGGGTCAGGTTGGAACTGGCCGGCGTCGCATGTAATAGCACCTGGAATGAAATTCTGACATTGAATGGGAAAGATTTAGAAATGTATTAATGTGATTAAAGAGATAGTACACAGGTTTCAGATACATGCAATCTTCCTGCTAATTTTGTAAATAACCTGTAATTACATCATAGAGACAGGTTTTCTCCAATGAAATAATGTTATTAATAGTCCAATTCCAAAATTGAATTGCTTTTACTCTTAAATCAAAAAATGCAAGCGATGCATACCGTAGCACCGTTCAAGGTAAAGTGAATAAAAGGAGGTTTTAAAACACATCTTAATATGATTATCTCTCCAATACTGATATTGAATGTAGTTAGAATGGCGGCCGGTAATACATTTTAATGGAAACGCCAATTATAATCTTTGTGCGAAATCCCATAGTCTATATACGACCTCGAATGCTATACGTGACATAATCATTATCATTCTTTACACTAATAAATTGAGTTTAATCGGCATGAACAACTGAGGCTGCACATGAAGTAATGTTTCTCTTGATTTACCTGCTGTGGTAGTCGTTGGCGTTGTTGTAGTTGTAGGCACTATGGTACCAGTAGGCGTTGTTGCTGTAGTATTTGTTGGTGTTATAGTAGTCGTTGGTGTTGTAGTAGTCATTGGTGTCGTAGCAGGCAACGTGACTCCTCCTATCCCTTGCCCAGGTGGATAGATAGCAATATCTGCGCAGCCGTAGAACTCTTCCTGTGGACCGCAGCCCACACAAGAGGTCCCATCAGGGTCTGTACCCCAACTGTTCCCTGGAAGATGTGCATAATGACAAGTGCATGGTTGAGCAGTACTTTAAGTAAACGTCAAAGAACGAATCGTTTGAGACTGTACATTGAAATTCACGTTACTGTGCAAGTTTTTGTTCAGGAATACTTTATAACAAACATTAGAGGTGTGAAGGTTCTGAAAAAAAAAGATAAAATAAGCCCCAGGTTCACTTAATATACATGTATTTATCTGAAAATATTGCAAATGATTAGATTAACGTAAACATACATTGACTTTATCTATATGTATAATGTTCAAATTAGGTGTTACCAAATTTCCCCCAAATACCAATTCGTATGTAACTTGTACTTTTGTTAATATTAAGGCCAGTTTAACGTTACGTCATTGCCCTAATTATGACGTCACACCACTCACCGGTGTGCCATTTCCACTGCAGCACACACTGTGTACAGGTGACGTAATCAGGCAGTTTGGCCAGTAGGTACACCTTGCCCCCTACCCAGGCGCTGTTTGTTTCATCCAAACTCTGGTAACGGTTGACAGTCGTCCCGTTAGCATGCAGGTATAAAGGAAGTTTATATTGGTCCAGGCACTCCACGCTGACGGGGGTGTTGGGATCGTTGTGTGGGCAAAGTCTGACGAAAATTAAATCCTACACTTATCATTAATTATCTTGTAACAAGAACTTTTCTTTGACGCATGTGAAGACCTTTGTTCTGCACGTTGCATTAAATATTTTCTTAAAAGGGTTGATAAAAAATATTACTAAACAGTCAGCACATCTATATGCGCTTTTAAAATGTTTAAACTGTATTGTGAATTGCTTTATATTTAATTTTGACGCACGGGATAAAATATTGGACGTAGCCTACATGTATAGCAGTATTGGTAGCGTATATTTTATCAAGACTTACTTGTATTACCTATGCACTACTTTTGTGTGATTTTTATCCATCAAGTACTTACCTAAATTCATACCACCCTTTATGCGGTGCTGTAATTTCTATTACGATTGGCATATACTCTCCCATTGTATACTGCCGCACTAAGGTCCCCGTGGCGTAAAGCCCTCCAGCCTCGTTTTCACGAGGACCTTGCCAGGGGTCGCCACATACGCCACACTTTCCGCCTTGTACGTTCCATTGGTTCTGAAAATTTCGGAAATATGGCCATTTAAGATAACTCAGTAACTTAAACAAGACAAAATAACTTGTCAAATTTTTGGTGAAGCGTCCTATTTGCAACCATAATTAATAGATTTAATTTTTTTTATTTGTCCTGACACTTGAACAGTTATTTCATGCTGATCCTTTATATCTTAAAAAATCGCAAATTTGTCGTAATTCCAAGAACCCATGTGCTCAGGTCTACAAAAGGATTGTGACCACTGCCTGGTGAGCTGATGGAAGTGGATGACCGGAAGATGCTGGGAATAATATGAGTTAGAAAGTTGGGTGTTATATCTCGACCCTTGTGACTTTACTGAGTATTACAACGGACGATGGTTTTATTTGCAAGGTCCACGTATGTCCTTTCTTACGCCATAAGAATAGGGTATGAGACTTTGGACAGTAGCCAAATGTAGGGAACATCTTCGTTGTCATTTTCCTATCTTTTTTATTTCTCGAATAAAGATCTGTTCAAGGGACTTTCGATATTCTGAAACCTGGTTCACGCACGGTAAAATATAACTGAAATAGAATCGTTTTTTAATCCGAGACGTGGCGTTGAACACATGACTTCAAAAATTACATCGACTAGTCAGACATGTGATCACTCAAGATATACCTCAATGGAGGAAACCCCGAACGAATTTAATTTTGTATTATTGCCACCAAAAATGGTCAAACAGAGCAATATTACAAACTGAAAAAAAATTTCAGCATTAACATATTTTACGAAAACGATGCTTAATGGGATTCCTAAATTAAAACACAAAACAAAAGAAATCACTGTAAGGAAATAATAATAATAATAATTTACATCAAATCCGCCACAGTTCAGGCTCATGTCGTCGTAGTTCGCCGGGGTGTTAAATCCCCTCCTAAAAGCAGTGGATCGACCTGGCGGTTCGTACAGTCTACCATGGCTGTGTACAGGCGAGCAATGCAGAGCGAGGAAGACCAGGAGAGACAAAGTCAGTCGTAGTCTGGTCGTAGCCATAGCGTGCTGTATGTTTCACAACCTCAATATATATTCGCTCTTTGACAACTTTTAGTTTCTTCGGTTCGACCGCAAGCTTGTGCTACTGAAATGGCAATGGTTTTTCGTTTGTCAACAGTTAGTTCTACGTCGACCATTACGTTCCTTCATCTGCTACAATCAGTGAACAACATTTCAATGGATCACATTTTGGAAGATTGCAGAGCTTTGTTCTTTACAATTTGTCAACTAAACAGCAAATCTAAATGGCAAACTTTGGTTCCTCTTAGAGCGGTTACCACAGTTTCATATCCGTGATCACGCCTTACAATACATTACAATACAGGAGATGATATAATGGTACGCATAAACTTATTTCCATATCAAAAGATATATATATATATATATATAAAGCATAAAAACACGTGGCAAATTCTACAGTATTAAGTTGCACAGTTGTGCAGAAAGATTTTAAGTTTTATTATACATATTTATATTTTTCAGTCGATTCTTTGTTTTAAATAAAATTTACCAATGTGTCCACAATCTGTCGATTTTGCAGTTGAAATGGGCGAGTTCTCGGAAATGTAACTGCATGTAAAAAAAACCGTGAAAAAATTGATAATTTACATGGAGTAAAAACCTCTGAATCCATAAGCTCAATCAATCAAATAAACTATTCAACTCCCAGAATCTGAGGGCATCGAAAAAGGTGTCTATAGAAAACGGCGTCAAGTATGTATGTTGTCGTTCTTTAAAAAATGCTGCCATCCAGAAATCTGTGCAAATTCTAAAAAAAAAAAAAAAAAATGATGCTGGCATTCAGAATCTGAGATCTCCAATTCCTGACAATAAGGTCACAGCTGTGATTGGTGTATCCGGTTAAAACTGGTTCTTTTAGGCCTGTTACCTTGGTGGGTTAATCGTTCATGCACAACCAGGCGTGGGCTAGGCGTCACCGTGATCGGTTAATGAACCTGATTTAAGACTTCAGACGACTTTCTGCGTACCACACTAGTCTGCCAGAACCCCAGAGAAAAAGTTTTCAAGAGTTTGATAAAATCGCCATATTCACGCTAACGTACGCTTTAAACTTATACACTTTATATTTTTATTAGTATTGTTTATTTGACCTGAAGCTTACATACATAGATGACAGCCGAGCGTGTGAAAAAGCATTCAACTTCAAATTTCTTGGATAATTTAAAAACATTGTTCTATTCTAACAGGATATTTTCTTTGATAGCCTATTGTGGCACGTTCTGACTTCAAATCTGCATGGTAGAATACGTGTGGTGTCGATCTGTTATCAAACAAAAATAATAAAGCTTTTGTTATCTAATTTGTAATGTACATGTACCTTTAAATTCTTTTAAACTATTGAGTGTATTTATATGAGAAATTTCTATATAATTATAATGACCTTTATCGCGTGGCTACCATTAACGTGAGTGTTAAAAGAAAAAAAAAAAAAAAAAAAAAAACAGCAAATATGCGGTGACAACAAATATCATAGCGATTTATGAATCAATGTATACTATGGCGTTAGATTAATCTTTCAATTAGTAAACTTTCAGTAATTTTTAGCCATGCATGAATTTCTTGTTTGATAGACAAAATAAAGAAAACCCGTATCCGCAGCATTAATTTAATTACTGCTACAAATTGTACAGAGCTCTTTCCCAAGTCCTAACCGGTTGTTACTTAGTGCTTTGTGAGCAAAAAGTTGCTTATAATGATGATATTCTTCTCGAAAAATCTTAGGTGATATACGTCTTATTAAAACTACTAAAATTGATTCTCTTGTTAATATGAATAACAGCAATCTTACCGTCACTAATTATTTTGCTGCCGGGTTTACTGTTGACTGCTGACGTTGACTGCCGACGTTGACTGAGCGATCAGAAACGGTGAACACAGTAAAAAGCTAGCTAGAAGATGTGCGAATCAGGTGATTTAATATTAAATGATATTAATTCGTCCACAACCAGCATCTGTGGTATCTGACTTGAATTATGAAAAGCCTTCCGTGAATATGACAGAAATCTTGGATGAATAAATGAATATGCGTTTCAGTCTTAAAGACAGGGCCTACATACAGTTAGAAGAGAGGGTAGATTCCCTGAAACGCATAAAAATCAATAGGCCTACTACCCGTTTCTCATGCGACTCAACTGAAGTCTAAAGGATAAACCAAACAAATCACTCAGTGAGCCAAAATACCAACAACAATAACAGCAACAACAAACTGTGCCATCTTCAAAATACTGTCGTATATTGGACTTACTTATCCGTTCCTCAAGTTCGTAAAGTCCGGCTACTGACGAAGTAATGTAGGCTATAAGCTCACATTCCCGTTTTTCTTGTAGGCTGCTTTTTAAATATTAAGCCTACTGACAGTAGCGGATCCGCATCCGCGGACCACCCCTCCCCCTCCCCTTTAAAAAATCCGCCCTGTGCTGACACCCGTTTAGACTGGTAAACAGCTAAGCCTACGGAAAAAATTAAAGAAGGCTGAATGCGACCATTCGAAAAATGCATTTATAATTTATTAAATTGCATATAGGCCTATATATTTTTCATTTTATATAGGCCCCTATCCGTAAGATAAGTAAATAGGGCCTAAATAAAAAACTTTCCCAAATTTCCGATCTCATGTTTCATTATCTGCATTTTCTTCCCCATACAAGTGGCACTCCTAAAGTCTATGCCCTTTTTGATGCAGCAATTCTCTGTTTGTTGTAGGCCTATATACTGTATAGGCCAACGACGTGGAGATAAAAAAAAAAAGATGGCATATTTAAATAACAACGACTCTTTCAAAGCGTCTACATCAGTTTGATAAGGGTTAAACATCATAGATATGTAACGTTTTAGTATAACGATGTGAAAAGAAATGAATTCATTTTAAAAAATGCAAATAGGAGTTGAAATTATTCAAACAAAAATACCCTGTCGGGTCTCATTTGACCCTTACTCGACCTTGACCTATTTGTAGAAAAGCCGTAGGAAGAAGGCGGTCGTTTTTGTTTACGTTGGATATTATCGAAGTAACAGGGTATATTTGGATCAAGGTAAGTTTTTGCATCTGTTTTGTGCCTTCATTTTATTAATGGTCTATGTAAGCCAATATACAAAGCCACATTCTGTTTTGATTTGTAACATAAAACCTCTCAGGCTGCGTCGATTGAGTCAAGGAATTAGCCAAAACACTGACACCGACTAAGTACAGTAAACTTGCATTTCTTGGTCCCATTTCTACTCACTTATAATTCCTATGCTTTTAGAGAATAACAAACGTCGTTTTGCTGATATAACACATTAATGGATACCAAGTAACTGCTCTGTAACAGGCACTACAGGTAATTTAGACACTGCGCTCATAATTTTGTCTTTTTCTCTTGCCCTGCAGATTGATGTTATCAATGCTTCTTATTTTTTCCTCGCCGTTGTACTAAGTTGGAGAGATATAAGTTTGGGCAAGTCAGTTTACAGTCCAGAGGGCACTACCATGGTTTCTCAGCATTTTCCTAACCTTTGAAGTCTAGACCACCAACCCTGTACTGTAGAGAGACTTCTATAAACATAAAGACTTGCAGACTTTCTGGTCTATTCAAATATAATGAGAGCTGAGGTCAAATCAGGGGTGGCAATATACTGTGAGTGCTTTTGTCAAAGAGCAAAAAATCAACCAAAATAATTGTAAGTAGTAGTACCAGTAACTTAACAAACAAAATTTGAATAGCAAAAACACTGATCAAAGTCAGTACATAAATGAATTCTGAAAAAGTATTGTAAATAAAAAAATTAAATTAGGAAACTTAAAAATTGCTCAAGCTTCTATAAACACAATGTTCACTGCCTATTGTTCACCGAAAAAATTGTTATCAAAATAGTTCCTTTATTAGAAGTCATTGTTAAATTCAAATTTATGTTAACTTCAAATGATTACTATTGGAGTTTCTCCAAAAAATGAAAAAAATGGACTAATTTTCATTTTAGACGGCATTATTTTATTAGTAAAAAACATCTGAGATGTATCTAAATTTGCAATGTACATATATCTTGGCAGGACACATGATACCAGATGGCGTTAAGTGCCCCTGCAAATCTAGTTTGTTGGTAATGTGCTGTACATGTGCGAAATGGTGTTTCATTTCACTTTTTGGTAGTTTACTCATTAGAATTGTAAAATACTTAGAGTTAACTTTACTAGGTAAAGAAAGCAAAGGTACATATGTAAATAAACTGGGTCAGTTACTAAAAGTTTATACCAGTATCTAAGATCAATAAGGTCATATGAAATAGTCATTTTCATTAATAATCTGACCATATGGTAAGTGTTGTTGTGGATAACTGAGCTACTAGAATCATCAGTATAATTAGTACTTGTTGCAGCTTAGTGAAGTATTGATAGATACACATTGTCACTGTTTGGGAAATTATCAATTGCTACAATCAATAATAACATGAACTAATAGATAGCTTTTGCAAATAAATAAAAGAATATTTAGATAGTAATCTTTTGGGTTTTTAGCTTATGGATTTTTTTTCTTTTTTGAAAAAAAAAACTACCAATTTTCTTTTAATTATAAGGTCAATTCATGTAACCACTGCATTAAAATGGATAGTGCTACGTAATAAAAGAATCACATTGCTGTCAAAATGAGTTGTGTTAGGTTGTATAAGCCTGTAGTAAGTGTATACGTAGTAGTACTAAATTTTACTACAGTACTACAGCATGGAAGGGCGTGTCTTAAATTATTAGGAAGTGAATTAAATATATCATACATGTGTGACTCTTTGTTATTCTATTGATTTTCTTAGTCACCCAAAATCAATTAAACATTACAGTGTAAATACCCAGTGCACCCACATTTTGATATATACTCTCTTGCACTACCCCTGACTTTAGTGTGGTAGCTGGTTAATAACAGAATGATAATATTTATTCTTGCAAGTTAAATTAAACATGTTCTTCTATGAAAGTGTGATAAAAGCTGCCTTTGGTTTTATCTTGG